CTGGAAGAGTACAAACACACACAGGAACACATGGCCCCTCCACTACAGAGCCAGTTCCCTATCAGAAACAAAGAAACACCCTCAGGTGTCACTGCCCTCCTCAGGCACACATACAGCACACATGCAGACACACACTCAGGCTCATGGACACGTTTCATTTGACAGAGACATGTTCACTCTGTCCACACACAGGCATACAATCCTACACACACACACACACACACACACACACATGTCACAGTCACTCAGGTGTACATACTGCCACAGTCCCCAGAGGCACAATGCTCCCATCCTCCTACACTTCCTGCAAGAAGCCCCAGCAACAGCTGAGGGGACAAGATGGTTGGCTCCAGAAACTGCTGCTGCAAACCCCAGGATTGGGGCTCTGGACCCCACAATACAAGGACCAGGGAGCAGCAGCTTCACCATGCACAGGGCTCCTGGGGGACCCCTGACTTAGAGGTGGCACCAACCACCCCTTCCCTGGTCAAATTGGGCCCCAGAGAGGAAGGATAACAAGCCCCAGAGCCGAACTGCCTCTCACCCCAGAGACAGGGGCCAGGGGAAGGGTGTTTCCTCTGGGAGAAGCTAAGGTACTCCCAAGGCCCCAAACCTCGTAAGCATGGCCAATAACTCCCTCCCCAGACCCTTCGGCATCAGGCTACACCTGGTCCCCGCTGCTGCTCCTCCTGTGATGTGGAGAAGCCAGAGGGTACACTTGGGGCAAGGGGCCAAGCTGGAGAGCATGTGCCTCTGTCCTCTTGAGCTTGGCTGGGGGTGTGAGCTCTTCGTGTGACTGTGAGAGCAGGTGCTGTTGGTGTGAGGCTGAGACTGTGCGTTACCATCGCTGCCCCACCGTGTCATCTTTAGGGGAGGGGAAGCAGTGTGTAGATGAACGTGTTCCTCTAGGGTGCCACATCTCTGCTGTGCCCAGCAGGAGACTTGTGTGGGAAGCGGTGAGGCCCTGGGCCTCTGGAGCTGTAAGCGGAAGATGTGACTGTGTGATGGGGAGTGATGAGGAGGCATAGAGAGGCAGTGGTGGAGAACTGAGGCAGACCACTTGGTCAGTGGAAGCGTGAATGGGCATCATGGGTTCCGTGATGGGTGGTACCAGGAGCCTCCGTGAGCAGGAGTCTGTGAACAAGTGTCACCCTCTGGCCTCGGTGCTATTTTGAGATTGCACCGGACCCTCAGTTTATGTTTATTTATTTTTTGTTTGTTTGTTTTCATTTATTTATATTAGTTGGAGGCTAATTACTTTACAATATTGTAGTGGGTTTTGCCACACATTGATATGAATCAGCCATGGATTTACATGTGTTCCCATCCTGAACCCCCCTCCCACCTCCCTCCCCATTCAGTTTATGTTTAGGATGATCTGCATCTATGGATCTCATGGTTACGCTCGTCTCTTACTTAGATGTCTGTGTCCACATTTTTGTACATGATCGGTCATGCCTGTGTGCTTGCAGAGCATAACTAGAGGCCGAACATGCCTGCACCAGTGTGTTTGTAATTATAGATGAATGTTTCTGCCAACAGCTCAGTGTATTTGAATGTTTACTGAGACCCATTTAAATTCAGGTTAGAGGGCTTCCCAGGTGGCACTAGTGGTAAAGAACCCACCTGCCAGTACAGGAGTCATAAGAGGCATGGATTCTATCCCTGGGTCAGGAAGCTCCCCTGGAGGAGGGCATGGCAACCCACTCCAGTATTCTTGCCTGGAGAATCCCATGGACAGAGGAGCCTGGCAGACTACAGTCCATGGGGTCGCATAGAGTTGGAAACAACCGAAGCGACTTACACACACATGCATAGCTCAGCCTACCTTCACAGAATACCTGGGAAGAATAGACTGGGTAGCTTAAACTTGGGTCAGTTCCCAAGTTTAAGTAGTTTCAGCTTCCGAAAAAGCCATTTCATAAGCAGGCTTCCAGTAGTTCAAGTTTCCAAAAAAGCCATTTCATAAGCAGACTTCCCCACTCCATCCTTACCACTCACCTTGATCCTCTTACTTTCGTGGAAGGTGGGACATAATTGAGGGGGAAAAACACAGTGTTCTCCAGGGATCCAAAGCCAAAAGATTCTTCTTATTCTGTGGAGGAGAAAAAGGAAGACAATAGGGTAGGGAGGGTCTTTATTTTCTTTTAATGGATAAGGATGCAGAGCTGGTCTCAAAATAGCCTTCAGGAAACCTGTCCTAAAACCCTTATCCTTTTAAGACCCCTCTTGGAGAATCATCCAAGATTTCTGCAGTGAGATTCAGACAGGAAAAAACTGGAAGCCTTGAAATGCTTCTGTCAAGTCTCTGCATCTGATAGGTGTATCCACCTGTCTGCACGAGTTTCCCATAAAGGGGTGTGCATTTTCTTGATTCTGTAAGTGTTTGATTTCATGGGAAGAATTTTCCAGGAATACTGAGAATCATCCAGATTCTTTTTTTTTCTTTTTTTTCCATTTATTTTTATTAGTTGGAGGCTAATTACTTTACAATATTGTAGTGGTTTTTGTCATACATTGACATGAATCAGCCATGGATTTACATGTATTCCCCATCCCGATCCCCCCTCCCACCTCCCTCTCCACCCGATCCCTCTGGGTCTTCCCAGTGCACCAGGCCCGAGCACTTGTCTCATGCATCCAACCTGGGCTAGTGATCTGTTTCACCCTAGATAATATACATGTTTCGATGCTGTTCTCTTGAAACATCCCACCCTCACCTTCCCCCACAGAGTCCAAAAGTCTGTTCTATACATCTGTGTCTCTTTTTCTGTTTTGCATATAGGGTTACCGTTACCATCTTTCTAAATTCCATATATATGTGTTAGTATACTGTAATGGTCTTTATCTTTCTGGCTTACTTCACTCTGTATAATGGGCTCCAGTTTCATCCATCTCATTAGAACTGATTCAAATGAATTATTTTTAATGGCTGAGTAATATTCCATGGTGTATATGTACCACAGCTTCCTTATCCATTCATCTGCTGATGGGCATCTAGGTTGCTTCCATGTCCTGGCTATTATAAACAGTGCTGCAATGAACATTGGGGTGCACGTGTCTCTTTCAGATCTGGTTTCCTCGGTGTGTACATCCAGATTCTTTAGTTCTTTTTTTTTTTCTTTTGCAAATCTCTTATTTTCTTTATTCTTTTCTCACTCTTGATTAAAAGTGTAGAGACTCAGGTTCAAACCCTGGGTTGGGAAGATCCCGTGAAGAAGGGAATGGTAACCCACTCCAGTATTCTTGCCTGGAGAATCCCATGGACAGAGAAGCCTGACAGGCTACAGTCCACAGGGTCGCAAAGAGTTGGACATGACTGAGCACACACATGCATGATGTTAGGCTAGCATCCTAGGTTCAAAATCTTTTTTCTTCAGAATTTGATGATATTGCTCAGCTGTGTCCCATCACCTACTATTGAGGACACAGTGGATGGCAATCTGGGCATCTCAACATCAACAGTGGAGAAGGAAATGGCAGCCCACTCCAGTATTCTTGCCTAGAGGATCCTGTGGACAGAGGAGCCTGGTGGGCTGCTCTCCATAGAGTCGCACAGACACGACTGAAGTGACTTAGCAGCAGCAGCAACATCATCAGATCCTTACATCCCTGCCCTTGGGAGGGATGGGTTCTTGTTTTGATCCTTAGTGCTCTAAAACATCAAGTTTGCATTCAGGTGCTATCGATTTATATTCATTTCAATACATATGTGCCCTTCATGTTTGGAATTTTATTTCTTAAATAAGTTCCTCACTTCCATCTTGGTTTTCATGTCCATTCTGCCTTTCCCCAAAATAAATACCCATTGGTCAAATCTCTCCCTGATTTTGATCCTCTCTCTCATCTTTTCTTTTGTGTTTCTTCCTTCTTTGGTCCACATCCTGGGCAATACTTTTGTTCTGTTTTTGCTGCAAATCACAACATATTCAAGTTGGAAGCAGCTTTCAAGTTCACCTGATTCAACTCCCTTACTCTACAGATGGGGAACCTAAGACCTGGAGAGGAAGAAGACTCAGGGAGGGAAATTGCTCACAGTTACATCTGTGTGTAGCCACAGAGCTGTCATGACTTCCCTCGTGGCCAGAAAGCCTTGAGCAACTCAGTGGCCCTTCACCCTTTTCCTTTGACACTGAGGAGATGACTCAGCAATGGGATGAAACCCCTGGGGTTCCAGGTGCAGAAGGGGCCTAGCAATGGATGCTGCCAATGAGTCTTTGGAAGGAAGCCCATTCATCCTGCTGGGACTAACAAAAAATCCCAGCCAGCGGCAGCCCCTTTTCCTGCTCTTCTTGGTCCTCTATGTGGCAGGCATCCTGGGTAATGGACTCATCGTGGCCGCCATCCGAGCCAGTCCAGCCCTTCACACTCCCATGTACTTCCTGCTGGCCCACCTGTCCTTTGCTGACCTCTGCTTTACCTCTGTCACGGTACCTAAGATGCTGGCCAACCTGCTGGCCCGTGACCGCTCCATCTCTCCGGCTGGCTGCCTGACCCAGATGTACTTCTTCTTTGCCCTGGGTGTAACTGACAGCTGCCTCCTGGCTGCCATGGCCTATGACCGCTACGTGGCCATCCGGCATCCCCTCCACTATGCCACAAGGATGTCCCGGGCCGTGTGCACAGCCCTGGTGGGGACGGCGTGGCTCGTGTCCCACGCCCACTCCCTCTTGCATATCCTGCTTATGGCCCGCCTGTCCTTCTGTGCCTCCCACCAAGTGCCCCACTTCTTTTGCGACCACCAGCCTCTCTTAAGGCTCTCGTGCTCTGACACCCGGCACATCCAGCTGCTCATCTTCACTGAGGGCGCGGCAGTGGTGGTGACTCCCTTCCTGCTCATCCTCGCCTCCTACGGGGCCATCGCAGCTGCGGTGCTCCAGCTGCCATCCGCCGCGGGGAGGCTCCGGGCTGTGTCCACCTGTGGCTCCCACCTGGCTGTGGTGGGCCTCTTCTACGGGACAGTCATCGCAGTCTACTTCCGGCCCACATCCCGGTATGAGGCTGAGCGGGGACGTGTGGCCACCGTCATGTACACTGTGGTCACGCCCATGCTGAACCCGGTCATCTACAGCCTCCGGAACCGGGATGTGCAGGGGGCACTCAGAGCCCTTTTCACTCGGCGAAGGATCTCAGCAGGTGATTCCTGAGGCCTGGACCCCACCAAGGACGGACTGCATCGCCCACGGCAACACTCGTGACTGCCATCATCTGCTCTGTGCTTCTTCCAAAACTGTGATAATGGCGATCCCTTTCTGAGGGCTATTGTAGTGCAGGTCCTTGCCTGACCTGACGTTATGCCACAACAACCAGTGAAGCAGATTTTTATGACCTAGTTTCACAGATGAAGAAACGGGCTCAGAGTAGATTTGACTTTCCCAAGTTTACACCATTTTTAGGTGGCAAAACCTAGGCCCTTTCAGCAATACCATACCCTCTTCTAACAGTCACTTTCAGGCACTTAGAGGTTGCATTCCACTGTTTTTTGTTGTATTTGGGCTGAAAGCTATAAGGAAGGCTGTGCTACCCAGATCTTGCTTGGGGGGGCCTGGCACTTTGTTTTCCATCACATCACCATGTTTCCTCGAAAAACTGACTTCTTCTCATCTGTCTGGGACAGAGGCTAAAATTCATGTACCCATATGTCAAGGGCTGACCTCACCCAGTGAACCCAGTTTGGCACAGAGGAAATACTCTGGGCATCTGAGATGAATAAATGAGTGTATTTTTTATGTTCATGAGCACTTTGAGGCTGTCCATTTTTCTTACCCTTTGTTCTTGTATTTGTTTGCTATGATCCTGTCTGTTCAGCTCCCCCTGGCATTCTGTAGTGGGAGCAGGCAGTCGGCATGCAGTGTAAATAGATAAATTAACTTAAGCAAGATAGAGAAGAGACAGGGCATAGGCATTGGTAGAGATGGAAGGGGTATTTTTTTTTAGTTTTTATCATATGTCAGCACTAGACATAGTTTTTTTAATTCTAGGTTTTGTTTCTTTTCCCCTTGCTTTCATTGTGCTGGGTCTTCCTTGCCGCATGCCGGCTTTCTCTAGTTGCAGTAAGGAGGGGCTCTTCTTCACTGCAGAGCTCTGGCTTCTCACTGTGTTGGCTTCTCTTGTTTAGGAGCACAGGCTCTACAGCATGGGCTTAGTGGTTGCGTCACACAGGCTTAGTTGATCATTGACATGTGGGATCTTTCTGTACCCGGGATCGAACCCATGTCCCCTGCATTTGCAGGAGGATTCTTAACCACTGGACCACCAGGGAAGTCCAAGCAGGGGTATTCTTATTGCCACTTTACAGATGAGGAAATGGAGGCTCAGTCTTTGAGTCAGAGCAAGAGCAAGCACTTCTGCTGCTCAGGCCCTTCAGGTGTATCTTCACTGGGTCCCACAGAACCCAGATCCCCGATGTGGTGGCCTCAGTGAAAGAATTTGCAGGCTACAGCAGTCTTCGGGCTGGGTTATCCACAGGTCCATCCACTTCTCACTAATGAGTCCGCCACCACCTGATCCTAGAACTGCTATCCTATGCCATTTATATCTAAAAGAAAACTTAAAGGTCTTTGGACCACTGGTTTTAGAAAACAAAACAAAAAACCACAACTCTTTTTTTTTTTCCAATGAAATCTTATGCAGAAACATACTATCTAAAATGAAGGGGAGAAAGCAGGAGTAAGGGTCAGAGGGACCCTCTAGGGAGCCCATCTTCTCAGCCTCCCCAGTGCATTCTTCTCACGGCCCCGAGGGGCCACTGATCCATTCCAAACCCTTACTTTGGTAAATTGGGAAGCTGAGGCCCAGAGTGCTTAAGGGACCTGCCCGGGTCACAGAGAGTCAGTGGTGACCTTCAGGCTTCCTAGCTTGGCCCTCCTGCACCCTGCCACTTGGCCTTGCAGGGACATGAGATCATCCTCATGTCTACCTGATCCACCGTCCTCCCACCCCCGCCCCGAGGCTCAACTTGATGCCATACCCTTGCTCCCCTATCAATAGCCCCACAACCTGCTTCCCCCTCACTCTTCCTGGAGTTTCAGAAAAGTACTGGTGGTGATGCTCATCACCCAGTCCATACCTGTACCATCAGCCCCACCCTATGACATAAGGTATGTCATCTGCTGGCCATCAGGGACCTCACCTGAGTTCTGCCAGTGTCTCGAGAACCTGGCACAGAGATATACACGTGCTCTGAGGTCATCTCATCTGTCCTCTTGTCTCTTTCCTTCAGCATAAGGAGAGAGGGGCCCTATGGGGCTCAAGGGATCATCAATGCTTTTTCTGGGCCAGCAGCCTTGACCTGGTTATCCTGCTCAACCCCCCAAAGAGACCCCATCCCTGGATGGGTGGTCTCCACTGCCCACCTTGTAGCACAGCCCAGCTTCTGACCTTGGTCTCTGACCAAGGCATGCCATCTCTACCCCAGCGTGGTCAGTTCCTTCCACAGGATGACCACAACCAGTGTCAAAAGTGTTTTCAGGTCTCATGAGAGCCCAGGAAGAAACCCCCACTATGCCTGTAGGGAAACTGAGGCTCAGAGAAGAGAGGAGGCTTCTCTTGGTTGGCTCCACCACCCAATTTTAGTCCTAGTTCTCCTGACTCAGTCTCAGGCTCTTTCAACCACACCACAAACCACCACTCAGTTCAAGTTAATAAATAGTTATTGACCATCTTCTATGTGCCAGGTGCTGGGCTAGATGATGCCTGATCTACTTCCAGACCCCCAGAAAAACAGGCAAGAGAGGGGGGTGGGGTGCACATAAGTAGCCTCAATCAATAGGCCTATGGGTCCCTGGGCCCCATTCCCACCCCACCCCCCACCTAGATCAGGTTTCTTGTTTTACTTCAGGAAGCCCTAAAAGATGATATTGACCAGGAGATAACTATGAAACCTTCTCCCATCCCCAGCCAAGAAAAACCACTGAGTTCAAAAATCCACTGAAGAATTTTCCCTGCATCTTTTTCACATGAACTACAAAGAACAGTTTTTAACACCATAAGCAAATAAGCGTATACAAACTGACTCACTTCCAAGCAGTTCCCTTGGAAGAGATGGTACCCAGGGAGGCTGCTTCAGCTTCGTGGGTTTGCGGTCACCCCTCAGAAGGACTTTGAACTGCTTCTCCTTACCCACCCTATTCCCTGACTTTGTCCAGAAATGACTTCTGGCCATTTCAGAATCAATCTAGCCCACCCTCCTAGCATGGGTTTTCCCTGGTGGCTCAGAAGCTTAAGAATCTGCATGCAATGCAGGAGACCCGGATTTGATTCCTGGGTCAGAAAGATCACCTGGAGAAGGGAATGCCTACCCACTCCGGGATTCTTATTCAATCCATGGATAGAGATACAGTCCTTGACGACTGAGTGACGCTCATCCTCCTAGCATCGATATTACTAACCCTTCATTTTATGCCAATAATAGGTAGTGCTAGGAACAACGTCATCCAGAAAAAACAAACAATTGCATTTCAAGAAAAGAATTGAGTCTGCCTCTCCAGCCTCACTTCCAGTGCAGGCTTTCTGCATCATAATGTAAGGCCGCCTTCGTTTCAAAAAACAACTGGAGAGATCTTAGTTGTGAAAGAGGCTCTGATCATAAATGGCAAATTGATTACTTCTTCGAAAAGACCAAAAAAATTCCTATAATCCAAGTCTTCTTTCATGCAAGGGTGCCACAGGGAAAATGCAACTATTAGACTTGAAAAATAAAAACATGAAGATTCTCTAAATGTGAAAATGACTGCTTTAGAATACTAGGAACGGATCAGTATTTCAAGAAGCTATTTATCAGCCAGCAGTTTCTCTCACTCTAAACCAGGGATGTCTCCCCCGCTCATCCTTTTCATGTCTCTTCTGTGCCTGCCCCGTCCTCTCCTTTCAGTTGCTTGTGTTCCTACTTTCTTCCTTTTTTTGCTGTCTGTGCTCTCTGCTTTCTCTGTTATGATTATATATTGAGCAGTAGGACTATAGACAGCCCTTGCCTTCACATATGTAATAGGAACACAGATTATTATCAAAGCCAGGAGAGATGTACAGGGTACTATGGAAGCATCAAAGAGGGAGCAATGAATGGAGATGGGGAGTCACTGAAGGGTGATGTGAGTCTGATGGATCACACTGGTGATTAATGGCCCTAGCTCACCCATCCCTGAATCCTTGGCCATGTAACTTTGCCCTTCATCTGGGATTTTGGGTTCAGCCATCCAACTTGTTTTGGCCAACAAGATATCAGAAGGCAGGACATAGACATGAAAAGAAGCTAAGATATTGTTTTTTTTCTCTTGTGTTTTTCTCTTTGCCATGAGAAGGACATGCCCAGCTAGACCACTGGCCCCCAGCAGAAAATGAAAGACACGCAGGGCAGAGCTTTTCCAGTCCTCAAGGCGATTCAGGAAGCCAGTGCAGAGCAGAGCCTCCTGCTGACCTGCAGACACAAGAACAAACCCAGGCTGTCCCATTGACACAAGAGTGAAAATATTTTTTGAATTAATTTTTATTGCAGTATAGTTGCTTTACAATATTGTTAGTTTCTTCTGTACAGCAAAGTGAATCAGCTATATGTATATACATATATATATATGTGTGTGTGTGTGTGTATATATATATATATATATCCTTTCTCTTTTGGATTCCTTTCTCATTGAGGTCATCGCAGAGCCCTGAGTAGAGTTCCCTGTGCTATACAGTAGCTTCTCATTAGTTATCTATTTTATATATAGTATCAATGGTGTATATACATCAGTCCCAATCTCCCAATTCATTCTACCACTTCCCCTTTTCCCCTTGGTATATGTACATTTGTTCTCTATGTCTGTGACTCTGTTTCTCTTTATTATTATCACTATTATTATTATTTAAATTTTATTTTTTGGCTGTGCTGGATCTTCATTGCTGCCTGGGCTTTTCTCTAGTTGCAGTGTGCGGGCTTCTTACTGCAGCAGCTTCTCTTGGTGCTGGGCACAGGCTCGAGAGCACTTAGGCTTCAGTAGTTGCGGCTCCCAGGCTCTAGAGCACGAGCTCAATAGTTGGGTACACGGCTTAGTTGCTCCGTGGTATGTCGAGTCTTCCCAGATCAGGGATTGAACCTGTGTCTTCAGCACTGGCAGGCAGATTCTTTACCACTGAGTCACCAAGGAAACCCTGTGTCTCTATCTCTTCTTTGCAAATAAGATCATCTACACCATTTTTCTAGATCACACATGTATTTGTTAATATATGATATTTGTTTTCTCTTTCTGACTTACTTCACTCTGTATGATGGTCTCTGGGTCCACCCACGTCTCTATAAATGACCAAGTTTCGCTCCTTTTTATGACTGAGTAATATTCCATTGTGCATGTGTACCACATCTTCTTTATCCATTACTCTGTGGATGGACATTTAGGTTGCTTCCAGGAATGAAGACATTAAGCCACTGAGTTTTGGGGGTGATGTGCTACATGGTAACAGCAAGTTGATGAGGCTCCCAAAACTGTTTTCTGATATTTGTCTTTGTCTCCAGCGGAGCACATCCCGGCCCCTTCAATGTCCTGAGGACTGAGCTGCCAGTGAACGCTTGCTTTCTCTCTTTGCTTTGGGGGATTTACATTCTTGTTCTGAGCACGTTTCTGCCCCACCCCCACCATCTCTGCCAATCTAACCAGGATTCTTCGAGGGAATGAGTTATGTCATTGGAGGAAGAGCTCCTGGAAGTAAAAGCCATGGCCCCCACTTCTAGATCTCACAACCAGACCCATTTTCTCTTTGTAGCGAGTCAGTGTCATCTCTTGGTTGCCCTTTTCAGGGACTCCATAATCACTCCCAAGCTTAGATTCAACACTGAAACATTTTCGGCTCTTCCTTTGTGGGAAGGGAAATTGAAATTGGCAAAGGCTGAAAAGATGAAATGAGCAAAATTGATCAAGTCAGCCGATTTGGCAAGTAGCCGGACCCCACACACATATAGACACCACCCCTTCCTCTCTCCAGGGACCACAGAACAACTGACAGCTGGTGAAATCATGACCATCACACACATATCACGAAATCGAGTAACCACAGACCTCGGAAGCCACAACGACAAGGCAGGAGGTTGAGTAAACACGGGCCAGGTTTGGGGCTGGTGGCTTTGCACTCATCCTCATTTTATGAGGACTTGATCCTCATAAAAACTTTGTGCAGCACACATTATGATGCCTATTTAACAGATGAGGAAATTGCAGCTCAGGGGAGTAACTTGCCAAAGGCTCCAAACTAGAAAGTGGTGGAATCATTATTTGAGCACAGATCTGTCTCTAGGCTGAAATGAGGACTAGTAAAACCCCTCACCTGCTTCTTATCCAAATCTACTGACCATGCATTAGAATCACATGGCCTGCTTATTAAAATGTATATCCTACTCTCCACCCTCAAACTTTCTGAAGCAGCAGGGCCTGCATTGTGAATAACCGCCCTACATGATTTTGAGGCAGGTGGTCTTTGGGGCATATTGATAGGATCACTGACCTAAATCATATAAAACTTGAGATTGCCAGGACTTCCCCTGGTGGTCAGTGGTTAAGAATCTGCCTACCAATGCAGCAGACAAGGGTTCGATCCTTGGTCAGGGGTCTAAGATCCCACCTTCCACAGGGCAACTAAGCCTTCGCGCCACAACTTCAGAGCCCATGCTCTGGAGCCCACGCATCACGACTAGAGAGGTGTCCTCACGTCACAACAAAGAGCCAGCACAACCAAAAATAAATTTAAATTAAAAGTCAGAGCTGGTTGGGACATGTTCAGAGGTGACTCAAAGGCTGAAGGAAACATACAACTCTGGAAATAATGGACAGTTACGAGGAACACTGGAGAGAAGAGGTTTCTGTGGTTCTTACTGTTGGAGGACACGGATGAACAAAAAGTGCCCACCAAACTGAGAAGGCATCTTCAGACTGAAAAATGAGGCAGGCAGTTCCAAATAATCAACAAATGAGTTTATTGTAGGGCAACTTACTCACCAGGTGTGATTGGCAGAAAAGGATCCAGAAGCACTCGAAGCTGAACCCTGCATCATCAAGGGGGCATTGGGACAATTTTATAGTTAACCTAGAGCATGGGAGCCCTGAAGGAGGGCATGGCAACCTACTCCAGTATTCTTGCCTAGAGAATCCCCATGGACAGAGGAACCTAGTGGGCTACAGTCCATGGGGTTGCAAGAAGTCAGACATGACTGAGTGACTAAGCACATAGGGCATGCCAGCAGGTGCTCGGAAACAGGATATGCATTCCTAGGATTTCAGTTCAGTGTAGTTCAGTCGCTCAGTTGTGTCCGACTCTTTGTGACCCCATGAACCGCAGCACACCAGGCCTCCCTGTCCATCACCAACTCCTGGAGTCCACCCAAACCCGTGTCCATCGAGTCAGTGATGCCATCCAACCATCTTATCCTCTGTCGTCCCCTTCTCCTCCTGCCCCCAATCCCTCCCAGCATCAGGGGCTTTTCCAATGAGTCAGCTCTTCACATCAGGTGGCTAGAGTACTGGAGTTTCAGCTTCAACATCAGTCCCTCCAGTGAACACCCAGGACTGATCTCCTTTAGGATGGACTGGTTGGATCTCCTTGCAGTCCAAGGGACTCTCAAAAGTCTTCTCCAACACCACAGTTCAAAAGCATCAATTCTTTGGTGCTCAGCTTTCTTTATAGTCCAACTCTCACATCCATACATGACCACTGGAAAAACCATAGCCTTGACTAGATGGACCTTTGTTGGCAAAGTAATGTCTCTGCTTTTTAATATGCTGTCTAGGTTGGTCATAACTTTCCTTCCAAGGAGTAAGCGTCTTTAAATTTCATGGCTACAATCACCATCTGCAGTGATTTTGGAGCCCCCAAAAATAAAGTCAGCCACTGTTTCCACTGTTTCCCCATCTATCTGCCATGAAGTGATGGGACCGGATGCCATGATCTTAGTTTTCTGATTTATGAATGAGTAATTAGCTTCACAGGTCCTGGGAACTCATCAAGGAAGATTTTCATCATTGTTTGGGGACTAACAGAGCACAGAGGCTACCTGGTCCTAATGATTATGAAACAATATCTGTTACATACAAAGCCCTTGACAACAGAGAAGTGATTCACTGAACAATCGAGTCCTGGGTAGGGTCAGTTGAAGGGCAGGAAAAACTGTAAGATGGTATTGGCTATGCCAATACAGTCATATACAGTCATATACTTGCCAACTCTCCTTTGAAATAAGTCTGAGGAATCCTGTTTTTCTCTTCGCTATTGAATAGAAATCATGGGGATCAGTGTCTTAGTTTTGGCTACTATAACAAAATACCATAGAGTGGGTGACTTAAATAGCAGACATTTATTTGTCACTGTTTCAAAGGCTGGAAGTCCAAGGCCAAGGTTCCATCAGGTTTGGTTTCTGGTGAGAGCTCTCTTCCTGTATGGACACCAGTCCTCTCAGACTAGGGCCCCACCCTCATGACCTCATTCAACCTTCATTACTTCCTGTAGTCTGCAGCTATAGTCACATGGGGTAGCGGGGGTAGGGAGGTTTGGTTAGGACTTCAGCATACTAATTTGGGGTGGACACAATTCAGCCCCTAACACCAGTCGCTGGACAAGCACCCCTTATCTCTTTCCAGAAGTCTTTTTGGGTAAACATTATTAGAGCGTACTAAGATCCTGACTCTAGAACTCCAAGTTCTGGGTTTAAGTCCTGACTTTACTAGATGATTGACTTTGGGCAAATTGTTTAGCTATAAAATGAGAGTGATACTATCTCCCTGGGGTTGTTATGAGAATTATCTAAGGGTTTAGCACAATGACCTGGCACAAAGTAAGTCAGAACTCACGCTGGTAACTCTCATCTCTACCGGCAAGGGAGGCAGAGACAAGAAGTCATGGGCTTTGGGATCTGGACATGAAGGCTGTCCCCTGAACTCAGGTGCTTGAGACTCCGGACTTGGGCCTGGCAGGAAACCAGTGCTCCCTCTTCTCTCCCTGGCCAAACTTTCCCTCAGGATTCACTGACCATAATGGAAAGTTAAGTGTATGTATGTTTATTCCTGAGATAATATTTGTTTTCTTCATTACTCATTAATAAATCATGTGAATGTAGTACTTACTGATTCTCTTTCCTAAAAACAAATTCTGTAAAATGATTCACAGAGTCCCCTGGTGACCTGGCAGTTAGGATTCCCACTTTTCACTGCTACAGTCCAGGTTCAGTCCCTGGTGGGGAAACTGAGATCCCGCAAGCTGCTCAGCCTGCCCCACCTCCGAAAAAAAGAAAGAAAATAAAATGATTCGTGTATGGTGCCAGACATAGACATCACCCACATGTCTCAAATCCAAAGTCTGTACTCTTCTAATTAAACAGGAAAACAAAAAAACTATTTGTTCCCTTTTCTCTGCTGCCACCGTGTGATCATATTGGATTATAACCAGTATTTCTACAGGCTTTAGCAGAGCTGAGGGCTTGATTTGAACTTATCTGGGTCTCAGTGAGCAGACATTTTAATCTCTCTGATCAAAAATATATAACATGTCTGCACCAAAAGTTATATAACATATAGTCTTCTAGCCTATTGTGGTGAATTCCAGCCTATTACAACCATGGGGATTTTCCCCACTTAAGCAGCCATCACTTATGTCATCTCAGACCAGACAACAGAAATGATGAGACGCAGTCCCCGTCCCCAGAGACTTCATAGTCTAATGTGTAAACAAATACTTAGGCAACTACACACACTGAAGATGGGGTTGTCCTATGGGAAAAGGAGACAAGGTTATTTAAGTCACCGGGACTTTTCACATTTCACAACTTAGGAAAAACTTTACATTGTTCATAAAATTAAACCAAATGCAATATGATAGCATGATGGCGACAGTAGATTTCTTAAAAATTCATTGATTCATAAAATCTCAGAGCTCAACGCGTCTCAAAAAAAATCATCTAACGCAACCCCTCATCTTACAAGAGGGGAAACGGAAGTCCAGGGAGAGGAAGAGACTTACCTAACAGCACACAGCTGGTCAGGGAGAGGACTGGAGTTCATGCTGACGGTACTCCTGATTATTGCCACTCAGAGCCAGATGTGGGTGGCAGTGTGGCCAGGGGTGTAACGGGACTTTGGGAAGAAGGAATTTTTGGAGGAAAGGGGGACACCTCACGGGGTACATGGCTGGTCATAGCCACAGTCAAGATGGAAAGGTTGTTTTTTGTTTTTTACTTGGTTGCTCTAGGTCTTAATTGTGGCATGTGGGATCTAGCTTCCTGACCAGGGATCAAACCCAGGTTCTCTGCATTGGGATCATGGAGTCTTAGCCACTGGACCACCAGGGAAGTCCCCAGACAGAAAAGGTTCTGACGTGAAACACAGGTAGGCCTGGAAGGCCCAGGTCTCCACCCAGCTTCATATCTTTTTCTCACTTCCAAAAATTCTGTTTCTCCTCCTCCAACCTGTTCTCTCCACTCTCTTTTTTTCTAATCGATCATTTTATTGACATTTGATCATTTTGCTTTCTTTGCTAAGAACAAGCATCATGGAAATAGTATACATTTTGGAATGCCACAGGCCTGAGTTTAAACCTTGCCCTGCCCTCTAGCTGTGTAACTTGGAATTGTTACTTAACTCTGCAAAGTCTTGGTTTCATCTTTGAAATATTACTTGCCATGAAAGGATGTGGCCTTCAATGAGCCCTTACATTCATTATTAAACACTCAATTCTTACCAAGTGCCAGGCACCGTTGTGGGTGCTGGGGATCATAAAAACAGCACTTATTTGAAGGTTGACTAGGTATTTTATGAATTGACTCATGTTACTCATCCCCACTTCTCAGATGAGGAAACTGAGGTATGGAAGGATTCTCTATCTTGCCCACAAACCTGTAAATGTCAGCCTAGTCCCAGAGTGAATAGAGGCTATGCCATACACAGGGAGAAAAATAAATTCCATGCCTTCATGGGATTTTCATTCCAGAGGAAAGTGCAATCTGGAAAACTACCGAGACAATTTGTAATAGACAAGTATTGGTTTCTCATTCCTTCTCCCAAGTCCATGACCAAAAAGGAGGATAGTGTAAACAAAGAGAAGTGACCTGAATGCTCTTCTGTTTCAACTCCTTCCGCCCCTTACACAAATAAAAAAGGAAACAACAGCAGTGAGCCCTTGTTTTGACAGCTGCTGTCACTCACCTTAATCAACAGGTTGGAGATCCTCAAACTTGAACCACCTGGAGGGCTTGTGAAAAGTGTGCTGGGCCACTCCCAGAATTTCTGATGCAGTTAGTCCAGGGGGAAGCCTGAGATTTTGCATTTCTAACAAGTTCCCCAGTGAAGCTGGCACTGCAGTTCTGGGATCACACATGGAAAACAACTGAACAATCCATGAAGCACTGTTGTTCCCATTGCCAAGGTGAGGAAATTGAATTTCAAGAAGGCTAGTTGCCTCACCAGAAGTTTCAACACCAGTGAGGAACAGACAGGAATTGATCTGTCTGGCTCCAAAGCCTGTGCTGTTCGTACTTCCCCTAGGACAGGATTTCCCCATTCCATGTCTATTCACGTTATCCCAGAATTTCTGTTCTTGAAAGGCAAAGTCAAGGTGCTGGGAGAGCATGTTTTCATTTCCAATGAGAACCGAAGATGACTTATAAAAGCTTTTAAAACATTTCTATTACCCAATAATTCCTCTTCTAGAAATCTATACTATGAAAATGATCCAAAATATAGCCCCAAATACAAAGATGCTATTTGTTTTAGCCAAAAGCTAAGAATCTAAATATCCAATATCAAGGAACTGGTTAAATAAAGTATGGCCTATCCAAATGATGAAATATTATGAGGCCATTAAAAATTATTTATTTAGAATTTAACATGTCAAAGCATTTATGATACCACATTAAGTTAAACAAAACACAGAACTAAATTCAATAAGCTCTCAATATTACTAAAAATATTGAAAAAGCTGGAAGGAAATAAACAACAACATTGACAACAGCTGTCTCTGTTTCTAATTTCTATACTTCCCAAATACTTTCTACAATAAGCTTATTTAATTTAAAAAAAAAACATGCAATTTCTTTTTCTGGTTAACTACAAGAGATACTGTCAAGACCTTATTACAGTTAGTCAATTCCTAAAAAGCCAGGAAAAGCAAAACTGAACTTTAAAATTAACATTTAATTAACAGATTATATTTTTCCTGACCCTACAATGTACATAGTTCAAAGTAAAAAAATAAGAGGAAAAAAACTCAAAAGACAATCATTATCATAAACACACAGAAAGAAGACCAGAAAGATACCTGTAAAATGGTAACAGGGATTATTTTTGGTTGGTGGAATTATAAGGCTTTTTACATCTTTTTAGTTTAACAATTATTGTTACATTTTCTACAATGAACATCAATTACTTTTTTAATAAAAAGTCTTTGCTGTTTTCCTTTTTAAGAGGAACTACCTCTTAAAAGGTTGTTTTTAAGAGACAACCACCAAGCAAATTACAGCACATCTATACACAGGAATAAACAGCAACTTTAAAATGTTGTAAAAGAGTATTTAGTAACACAGAAAAACATTTGATATATTAGCTGACCATACTATAAAACAGTATGTTCAGAATGATCCCACTGTTTTCTTTAACAACAAACACACAAAATGTCTGTGTATACAAAGAAAACACCTTGGAAGGAAATATCCCAAAATATTAATAGTGTTTTATCCTAGGTAGTAAGATTAGAGAGTATTCTAATTTTCTTTTTTTGCTTCTGTATTTTGGTAAATTTTCCTTTCTTAAATATTGGTTACTTTTCCAATATTTAAAAAAATTAACAAAAGCTACATTAAACAAATAAAAAAAATTTTTTACCTTGTTAAATAAAAGAGAAACAGAGAAAAGGTGAGCAGGGGTATCTTATTGAAAGATCTTTCTTTAAAAATGCTTCCCAGCTCCATCCCAGCTCTAATTTTTAAGTCAAGCTGTTCTTCCGGCATCAAGAGGGAAGCCCGTCTCCATCCTTCCTCCTACTGTAGACTTAACAACACTTGAGCAGGACATCGACTCCAGCAGCAAAGGTCACCCCTGTTGATGGGGCAAACATATGTGGTCCAGAACCTTTAAACAAGACCCTAGGGAGAACAGGGTCTTAGGGTTAAAAAATTTAACTGCCTTCTATGGTGATGAGTCTGATTACATGTGAATATAATATGATCACTGATGAAGGAAAATGTAGTATTTATGTTGCAAATAACACACTAACTATAGGATTATACTCCCAGACCTGGCAGAGACCTCTGAGACCATCTGAAGACAATTTTCAGGACACTGTCTTTAGGATGCTTTGTAAATATTGACTGGAAACAATAACAGAGATGTCACGCTAGAGGATCTTAAGTAAACAGTTCAAAAGCCTGGCTTCCTGTTTATACATGTTAAGTCACTTCATGGCGAACCACAAGGTGATTCAGCACGCTGATTTGATCGGAGAATTTCTTGACCTGACATATCATAGAAGGGACTATGAAGAACAGGGGGAAAAGCCGGAAGATCACACAAAAGAATGAAGATAAACACGCGAACATGTGTCTTCCAGCCCAAACCATGAGAGGTCTATGCCACCAGCCCAGATGGTCAATCAATTTCTAAATCACTGTCCTCACTGTGGCAGGTGGCAGAGTTACGCACAGAGGTTAGCAACAAAACTTCCTTTTCCGGGAGCAATCCAAACTCCTGGAGGAAAGCCTCAAGGTCCACAGCAAAAAAATCTTCCCCCAGCTGGTCAGTGACACGGACAAAGTTGCCAATCAGTTCACCCCCCTTGTAGATGAGCAGAGCAGGGAGGGCATTCCTGGTGAAGCGGCTGCTGGCCCCGATGACCGAGCTCCTCACCCGGCAGAACTTGACGGCCGGGTACTCGGCCGCCAGGCAGAGCATGCAACCGTTCATGGCCTCGGTCCCCGGGATGCCGTCCTCGTAAATGTGGACCATGATGAGGGTGCTCCTCTGCTCCTTGTCGATCATGTCCAGGAACCCTTCTCCACTGGGGATCTCAAAAACCTGCTTGAACTGGGGCCCCTGGTAGAGCTGCTGCCGCATCTCTTCCATCCTCTGCTTCCGGTACTGCTGCAGGAACTCCTCATCGTCCTGGTCCTCGTTCATCACCGCCAAGTCCTTCAGAGTCATCTGCGGGGGACCAGCAGTGAGCGTAAGAGATGTAAACCCAACAGCGACACACGTTACACAAGACGTGGGAGGTGCCGCGCTCATAATACTGGAGATCAGGGGTAGCTTCTGAGTGAGGCCTGGGCGCTGCTAATTACCTTCCCGCTGATCTTCTCCTGGAGGGCCTTCTGCTTCTGCTGCTCCTCCTCTTCGTCCAGATGGGACCTGCAGCTCAGGGACAGCTTCTTGATCAGCCTCTCCATCTCCCGGCACTGCTCCTCCCGCTGCTCTGTCTCCAGCTGTTTGAAGCGGCGCCAGTCATTGATCACGCCTTTTGGACCTGAGTCAGGGGTGAACGTGGAGGTGACCGAGGATGAGCAAGGAATTAGGGGCCAGGGCACATCTGTCCAGAGCTGGCTCCATCAACAGCACAGGGATGCTCACACAGGCATATCCATGGCAGGACAGTGTGTGAGAATTAAAGGGCCACACTAAGACCCAATCTTAGGAGATGAGTGAAATGAATTCAGACTCATCTACCCAAAGGACAATAAAGCAACTCTTGGCAACAATAAGGTAGCTATAGGTTCCCTGCCATGAAAAGTGTCTAAACATATTAGGTCAAAAAAGAAAAAGTAAAATGCAGAACAATATCACGGTGTGATCCTCCAATTTTTAGAAAAAGAACTACATGTTCATGTATAAATATTTACATATATTTGTCTATGTGCATGTACATTTATATGACCTCTATATTTGCATGTAGAAAAAGGGCCAGAAAAATAGGTAAATTGTTAACAGTGGATATATCCAGGAAGTAAGATCTAAGGAGACTGGTGAGAGAGAACTTTTACTTTTTCCTTTCCACACTTCCGTATTACCTGACTTTTTATAACAAGATTGTGGCAGGTTGTCCTGTTATTCAAACTAACCCCAAACCTCCCGGCCCCCTGCTATATAGCCCCGCCCCTTACCACGTGACTTGTAATACCACCTCTGGGGTGAAAACATGTATCCCCAGCCCACTGATGCAGGGCTTGGCCATGTGACTTATTGTGGCCACTGAATTCTAAGCAAAAACTTAACAAGCCATCTATATCTCCAACAGCCCTCTTTCTCCACACTTGGTCAGAACAGTGTGTCCCCAAAGGGGCTGCTCCTTCAGCCTAGTTCCTGGGATGACAGGACACGTGAAGCAGAAGCAAGGCTGCTGGTGATCCAGACGGGCAACAAGTAACATGACTGAGAAATAAACCTTTGTTGTCACAAGACACTGAGACTGGGAGGTCAAGGTTTATTTGTCGTCACAGGAAAAAAATATAAATATCTGTATGCAGAAAACTTTAAAATGCTGCCGAGAAACACTAAGAAAGACCTGAATAAATGGAAAATCAACACCATATTCCTGACTAGGAGAACACAACATCACAAGGGCATCATTATCCCTAAATTCATCCATATATTTAACGCATTTCTGATGAAAATATGTGATTACACACGTGTGCATGCTCCTTTGGAAAAGTAAGGAAACGGAAGTTAAGAAAATAGTGACATAGAAGAGTACTGTATGGGGCTCAGGCTTACCAGATACTAAAACATATTATAACGGAATAATTAAAGCAGTGTGGGAGGACTTCCCTGGTGGTCCCGTGGTGAAGAATCCGCCTGCTAAAGCAGGGAATAGGGGTTCAGTCCCTGGTCCGGAGGATTCCATGGACTGTAGAGCAACTAAGCCCCTGGGCCACGAGTACTGAAGCCCATGGGCCCCAGAGCCTGTGCTCTACAACCAGAGAAACCACTGCAGTCAGAAGCCCGAGCACCGCAACCAGAGGCCCCTGCGAAGCAACCAAGACCCAGTGCAGTTATAGACAGACAAGTAATTAAAGCAGAAGAACAACACTGTGATGTTAAAAGACAAATCAGTGGGAGAGGCTACCAAGAACAGCCAAAGACGCGAATATAAGCAGAAATTCCGTACAAGATAGAACTGGCATTTCAAAACAACGGAGAAATGGCCAGTCCTGGGGTGTGAGCGACTCCCTGGGACAGCAAAGGGACCAAGTTTCCGGAGCCTTGAAGACAAGGGGTAACACCCCAAAATACAGACTCATTTTCCACTCTACCTTCATTGGCCGAGCAGCTGCCAAGAATAAAGGTCGCATCTCCCAATACCTGGCAAACAGATGCGGTATTGCCTCACGACTCGATTGCTTCTCTGAGGTGCCCACCAGTGTTTTTGGGGAGAAGCTTCGAGAACAAGTTGAGGAGCGGCTGTCCTTCTATGAGACTGGAGAGATTCCCTGAAAGAATCTGGATGTCATGAAGGAGGCAATGGTTCAGGCAGAGGAAGCAGCTGCCGAGATTACTAGGAAGCTCAAGAAACAGGAGAAGAAATGCTTGAAGAAGGAAAAGAAAAGACTGGCTGCAATTGCCCTGGCTTCTTCAGAAAATAGCAGTGCCCCGGAGGAGTGTGAGGAGACAAATGAAAGACCCAAAAAGAAGAAAAAGCAAAAGCCCCAGGAGGCTCTTCAGGAGAATGGAATGGAAAACCCATCTGTCTCTTTTTCCAAACCCAAGAAAAAGAAATCTTTTTCCAAGGAAGAGCTAGTTAGTAGTGATCTTGAAGAGACAGCTGGTACTGGAAGTCTTCCCAAGAGGAAGAAATCTTTTCCCAAAGAGGAACCAGTTACTGACCCTGATGAGTCAGAAAACAAGAGGGTCCCCAAGAAAAAGCAGAAATTGTCTTCCAAGGAGGAGCCACTCATCAGTGGACCTGAAGAGGCTGCTGCCAGCAAGAGCAGCGGCTCCAAGAAAAAGAAAAGGCTCTGAAAGCTATCCCAGGAAAGTCAGAATGGACATCTTCCTAGCGGGGCATAACTTACAGAGGTATTCCCCATCCCATCCCCTAGAGCCCAATAAAATAAAAACAAACAAACAAACAAAAATCAATGGAGAAAAGATGGCTTATTCAGTAAGTGATATTGAAATAACTGGGTAGCAATATGAAAAAAATTAAGTTGGAGTCCTACCACTTAACAAAATGAATTCCAAATAAATCAACAGTTAAGTGTTAAACAAACAAACAAAATCATAAAAATACTTTTTTTAAAAGGCATGGGAGTCTTTTTTAATAATCCTCGAGTGGAGAAAGGCCTTTTACATAAGAAGTAAAACTAAGAAACTATAAAATAATGCTTTCAAGCACATAACAATTGAAAAAAAAAAAAAAACCACTTTCTGCCAAGAAAAGAGCAAAAACCAAGAGACAATAAAATAGAAATATTTGCAACTCAAACCACAGATTATTTTCCTTAATATATAGATTCCTAAGAAGAAAAAGACCAAGTACCCAATTTTGAAAATGAGCAGAGGACATTAACATATCCTTTAAAATTAGAAAAACAGGCTCGTCACTCTGAACCTAGAGGGGTGGAATGGAGGTTTAAGAGGGAGGGGACATATGTATACCTGTGGTTGATTCATGTTGATGTACAGCAGAAACCAACATAATATTGTAAAGCAACTACCCTCCAATTAAAATAAATAAAAATTTTTTAAAAAGACTTGTCACTTCTAAAAAGATAAAAACTAAAACTACAGTGAAGTGCCATTTGTCATCCATCAGGATGGCATCAGGGTATCCAAAAAGTTTGGTAACACAGCAGAATGTCATGTATATGGGAACTGTCACACTCCTGCTTAAACTACAAACCAGTACCAGTTCAACTGACAGCAATTTGCAAATAATAAAATGTAGAAGTGTAAATATGCAATGGCTAGGAATTTATACTACCAATATACTCATACCCATGATTTATGGGATATCAAACACCTATTGATTTGAGAAGCTAGACTCAAAACACAGGCCAGGCTAATTGAATCATCAGTACACTGCTACGCATACTGTTAGTATCGCACAGTGCGATACTAACACCGTGAAATGGTAACACTGGGTTGTCTCTAGATGTGCAACGGGAATTAGAGAGACGTGTTCATGAGACTTCTGATGCATATTTAATGGACATTTTTTAAACCTATTCCCAGAGCCCAGGATCTCCAGTACCTGTGTTAACTGAGATGCCTTCGCCCACCAAGTCCGCGTCTGCGGGCGTGGAACCGCCAGCCAGGGCACCTCTGCCTCTGTCCTTGTCCTCGTGGTCGCTGTCCTCCTCCTCACTGCTGCTATAATAGTACTGCAGCTTCTCCCCCAGCAACTTATCATCCAGGGTCGTCATCGTGCCTGGGAGAGGGCGGCAACAGCAGGCTCTGAGCTGGTTTGGATCAGACAGACATGAATCTGAAGAGTTGGGGCTCACCTGTGCTCAGATCCTACTATTCATAAGACCCTAAAAGTGACTGTTTTCATAAGCAAGATCTCAGCAAATCCACACGATGATCCTGTGACAGGGCTTATCACGCTCTTTTTGTAGAAGGTAAAACTGAGGCTCAGATGAGGAAAGTTTCACTGCCAAAAGTTTATAGCAAGCAGTTGAGCTGGGCTCAGATCCCAGAGGTTCCTAACTCCAAGAGACTGCAGGTGTGGGTTACTGTCTTCTGACCAGTGTACACACAGGACACCCTGAAGGAGGGTGGTGGGTCAGAGGAATCTACAGAGTGACAAGATTTTTATCTCCACATACTTTTTGATTTACCAACCAAGCAAGACTGCTGGTAATTGAAAAACTGCATAAGAATTCTCAGGAAAAAATCCAAAAAGCAGCACCAAGAGTGGGATGCTGAGACACTGCTTGTCTAAGCCCATCACTCATTCATCTCTTGCCTTCCACTTCCCGGTTAGGGTTAGAAAGCCTTACCAACTTTGGTTAAAAGAGGGGCCCATGACAAGATTTAATAATCCCCCAGTGTTTAAGTGTCCTAATGTGGCTCGGTTGGCAAAGAGACCACCTGCAATGCAGAAGACGCCCGTTCAACACTGGGTCAGGAAGATCCCCTGGAGAAGGAAATGGCAACCCATTCCAGTATTCCTGCCTGGGAAATCCCATGGACAAAGGAGCCTGGAGCGCCACAGTCTATAGGATCGCAAGAGTTGCACACGACTTAGCGACTAAACCACCACACCACCAGTGTTTAAAGGACCATGGTGAGAGCCAAGCTTCTGCATCAGAAGAAGCCTGGGACATTTGGGGAGAAAGGTACAGCTTAGTCCCTCACAGGTCTGCCTGAGGATCTCACCAGGAGGGGCTGTAACTCCAGAATGCCTTCCTTTAAATATTGCAATACCATGCTTCCTAGATTACAGGCATCCACGCCCCTGTTAAGACTCCGTAACAGTGACTTCTCCCACCGGGCGGGGAGGTCTTGAAAACAAGAGATCGCCAATGCCCAGCACGAGGCCTCTGCACAATTTGCCAAGTTCACAGAGACAGCCCAGATCTGTGGGGATACCCAGGGACCCGGGCAGCCAGACGAAGAGGTGGGTGCAAAGTGGCAGGGCTGAGAAAAAAAGGCTGCAGGAGCAAAGCCGGGAGCGGGGGGCGGTGAGAGAAATGGGACCAAACCTAACTTAAAGAGGCAGAGGGGCCCAGGCGGTGCAAGGTGAAAAGACAGGAGACTCCGCAGGGATGCGTAAACGATGAGGGCGGTGCCTTGGGGAGGCGGTGGCAATGACAGTGCCAGCGGAGGGGGTGGGGAAGAGGCGGGGCCCGCGGGAGGTCTCACGGAGGAGGCGGTGCCCTTAAGGGGAGGGGCCGAGGGCGGGGCCCGCCGGAGGGCTCGCGGAGGAGGCGGGGCCCTTGGGAGGAAGTAGTCGAGGGCGGGGTCCGCAGAAGGGCGGCAGAGAGGCGCGGAACCTTGGGGGATCCCGAGGGAGGTGGGGCCAGCGGAGGGAGCCGGGAAGCGGCAAAGACCCTAGGGGTCTAGGGGCCGCGCCAACCGGGCCACCTCGTCCAGGCTTGCCGACCACCTGTACTCTGCCACCTCCCACCTCATACCCTATCCCCGCCGCTTCTTCCCGGCTGACCTCAGTGCAGTTCCCTGGCCTAGTTCAGTCCGATCCTTCAGGATGTTACTACGGAAAGAAGGGTAACGCTCGGCCGGAGGAAGAGCAGTGGCTCCGCACCTAGAGCACCAAGAGAAAAGCCGCCTGAGTCCCGACTGCGCGGACCAATGGGGCAGCCTTTCTGCGTCAGCGCGGACACACGCTGCCCAATTAGAGGGAGCGCATCCTGGCCGGTCGAGCGGGAAGCTACGGGTCCTACTTTAGGACAAACTTCTCGACAACAGTGACACTCTTCTATTTGCTTTATTTTTGTTTTAATTTGAACGAAAGGCCACGCTAGATATGCCCAGCTTTGAGCAATAAGAACAATTTCGTTGTCTTTGACGTGTCCGAAAACATTCCACATGTATTTTTACTGATTGTTAATCACATCACGTCTAGTAAGACAGAGGAAAGGTTTGGACATTAATTTTGCCCAAGAACACACAGCCACTTTGGATTAAAAGAAGAAAGTCAAGTCCGAGACAACTAAACGCAAAGTGAAATCCTGTATTGGATTCCGGAACAGAAAAAGGACTTGAATGAGACAGCTAATGAAATTTGAATAAGGTGTATCAAGAAACAATAGTATTGTTATCAATAGTTTTGATAATTGAGCTACAGTTACGTAAGATATAAACTTCAGGGAGTTCTGGGAGAAGAGTATAGGGGAACTCTATACAATTTTTTAAACTTTTTGGAAACGTAAAATCATTTCAGATTCTGAGCCCTTACTGAGGCATCAAATACACAACATGAAGTAGCTCCTGGAAAGCTTTGTGTAAATTGAATCATTCAAAATATACTAAAACAGTACACTGTTTAAAATATAGGTAAGTTTTATTTCCCTAAAATTTGAGAGATTGTTTGTGATTCTAAACCACCTGCATTTGTCTGCAAATTTGTATATGCGCGTGTGTTTATGAGAAGCTGTTTGTCCAGGCTATCAAAAGTCAAAACGCCCATCCCCAGATTTAGGGAAAGTTCATATAAAGAGATCCTATGGTAACTTTTTGTATTTTTGTTTGCAGAGTGAATAATCTTACCTTAATCATATTTTGTGAACAGCCAACTTAAATATGCTTGTGATATGCTTTAAGTGACAAGCCAGGGACTTCCCTGGTGGTTCAGTGATTAAGAATCTGCACTCCCAATGCAGGGGACCCCTGGTTCCTTCTCTGGTCAGTTAACTAAGATCCCACACTTTGCTTGGTGGCCAAAAATAATGATAATAAAAATTTTAAAGTAAGAGACAAGCCAGCACCCAGCAATAGTCTCTATATAGGAGAGTCCGCCAAAATATTTGTTAAATACTAGATAAATGCTTGGGCTTCCTTCATAGCTCAGTTGGTAAAAAATCTGCCTACAATGCAGGGCACCCAGGTTTGATTCCTGGGTTGGGAAGATCCCCTGGAGCAGGAAATGGCAATCCACTCCAGTATTCTTACCTGGAAAATCTCATGGACAGAGGAGCCTGATGGGCTACAGTCCATGGGGTTGCAAGAATCAGACAAGACTTAGCAACTAAAACGCCACCAGATAAATGCTTTGCTTTTTTTTTTTTTTCTCTCACATCTCCCTGAAGCAGTGGTCTTCTTCATGCATGAAGGCTCCTTTTCCTTCAAAATTCACTTTCAGTTTAAGGCTGCAAGTCTCAAGGGGGTCTTCAGAGCTGCTCAACAATCCTAGTTACCCTGGGCAGACTATTCCCCTACCCTCTAAGCAAAGCAGTTTACACCTGGTCTTTCACATCTTCAACACTCCTTCCCCTGTCCTGGTTTATTACCTTATGACCTCAATTCTTATTTCAAGTGAGAAACAGAAGCAATCAGTAGAGACTTGTACCCTCAAAATGTACCAACAACCCCCTGCATCTGGGTCTATGAAATGAATCACCAATGCAGTGGATTCTGCTCCTCCAACCTAGAAAAGGAATCTTCTGCAGGTTCTCCCCCTCTCTCTCCCCTGCGTATTCAGGCTTTCTTTCTGTTTTTCTAGTTTTCATCTCTAAAAGAAAATCCTCTCAGATACCATTTTCCACTGTTCAGATTGTTAAAAATCAAAAAAGTTTGATAACACTCAATGAGACTGTGGGAAATACATGACTGATAGGAGTATAAGTTGATACAACTCTTATGGATGGCAATTGAGAAATATCTATCAATGTGCGTTTAGCATATGCAATCCCACTCTGGAAAGTTTATCCTATCGATACAGTTGCATGTATGTATTGTTTAGTTTGTAAAAAAAAAAAAAAAAAGAAAGAAAGAAACATGGAGAACATTATGTATGTATTAGTTTCCTGCCTTTTGCAATAAAAATAGGGACAAATAATACCATTTCTTATGTGTGCAGGAAGAAAAGCATTGAAGAATTTACAGGAAATAATTCAAATGGGAATCAGGAGTGGGAGGGAGACTTTTTATATATAATGTTTTATTGTAATTTTTCATCATGAGAAACCCTGGGCTGGAAGAAGCACAAGCTGGAATCAAGATTGCCGGGAGAAATATCAATGACCTCAGATATGCAGACGACACCACCCTTATGGCAGAAAGTGAAAAGGAACTAAAAAGCCTCTTGATGAAAGTGAAGGAGGAGGGTGAAAAAGTTGGCTTAAAGCTCAACATTCAGAAAACTAAGATCATGGCATCCCCATCACTTCATGGGAAATAGATGGGGAAACAGTGGAAACAGTGTCAGTCTTTATTTTGGGGGGCTCCAAAGTCACTGCAGATGGTGACTGCAGCCATGAAATTAAAAGATGCTTACTCCTTGGAAGGAAAGTTATGACCAACCTGGATAGCATATTTAAAAGCAGAGACATTAGTTTGCCAACAAATGTCCATCTAGTCAAGGCTATGTTTTTTCCAGTAGTCATGTATGGATGTGAGAGTTGAAGGGTGAAGAAAGCTGAGCACAAAAGAATTGATGCTTTTGAACTGTGGTGTTGGAGAAGACTCTTGAGATTCCCTTGGACTGCAAGGAGATCCAGCCAGTCCATCCTAAAGGAGATCAGTCCTGGGTGTTCATTGGAAGGACTGATGCTGAAGCTGAAACTCCAATACTTTTGCCACCTGATGCGAAGAGTTGACTCATTGGAAAAGACCCTAATGCTGGGAGGGATTGAGGGCAGGAGGAGAAGGGTATGACAGAGGATGAGATGGCTGGATGGCATCACTGACTCGATGGACATGGGTTTGGGTAGCCTCCGGGAGTTGGTGATGGACAGGGAGG